CTCACCCCAGGGTGGCCCCCAGGACCCTGCTTTAAGTGGTGTTTGGGTCTGGGACACCTTGTATCTCCAGCACAGCAGACCCCAGGGGTAGCTGGTTATCCCAGGCATTTTTGCCACTAAAAATAAACATCTAAAGAGCAACTTACAGGGCCGGCCGAGTGGCGCGATGGTTAAGAGTTGGCTTGGGACGCCAGATGGCCCCAGTTCGGATCCCACATATGAGGGCCAGTGACACAATGTCCTCCACAACTAGACTGAAGAACAAAATGACAGCAACTTGTCTGTTCCCCTTCCCCAATTCCCCAGCACTGTTCCCAACCCCCCAATTCCCCAATAAAAATCTTAAAAAATAAATAAATAAAAAAAATAAAGAGCAACTTACATGATGGCTGAGAAATCATCATCCACCAGGATCATATTGGCGGCTTCTTTGCTAACGTCTGTCCCCGTCTGCCCCATGGAAATCCCAATGTCTGCTGACTTCAGGGCAACTGCATCGTTCACCCCATCTCCCGTCATGGCCACGATAGCCCCCGACTCCTGCAAAGCCTTCAGAAAGAGGAGGCAAGTGGAGATCAGCAGCCTGAGGCCTTCCTCCTAAGTCCTCCCTTCTCTCCTGACACTCTGCCTCTCACACTGTGTGGCCAGCAGCAGAGACCCCTCTCGGGAGGGCACTGGAGTCACTGCCTTGAGTCTGAATCCCAGCTCCATCCACATGAGCTGTGGGAACTAGGCATGTCTTGAACCTCTTAACCTCAGTTTCTCCATCTGCAAAATGGGAACAACTGTCTGTCCTCAGGCTGTGGTGAGGCCGAGATGAAAACCATAGATGTGCATTGCCCAGCCATAGTAAAAGCTCGGATGTGTTACCAATCACCATTAAATGGTAATCTACTTATCCCCTGAAACCATGTGGGGCCCAGTAAGTGTGAATATTTTCTTGGAGGAATAACTTGTATAGAGATTTACTCAGTAGAATGAAAAAAATCCAAACATAACATAAAAGGAAAACACACAACTACCAACAGAGTTAAAAAAATAAGTTTTTAAAGTATATTTGTGTCAGGAAACCAAGCACATTTGCAGGACCCTCATTCTAGCACTTTCAGTTTTTTTTGATGCATAATCAGAAAATCACATCGACTCTTTATTTGGCACCTACTGTGTGCCAGACACTGTGTCAAGGGCTTCGCAGGCCTGGCTTCCTTTAATTGTCTTGCCAACCCTGTGAATTAGGTGATGTCATTCATTAACGTTACAGACAAGAAAACTAAGGCCTGGAGTTAAGTAACAAGAATACACCATAAAGCACTCGACTAACAAAGACTAGCCTCTTTTAATTTTCCCCTTTGCACCACCCAACTCCCACTCCCTGGTGGTAAAGGGCCCCCAGTTCTCCCCTCCCCAGAGGCTGGGAAAAGGCAACGGCTGACGCAGCTTTCCTGGACCTAGAGAAGGAAGCTACAGCTTGAGGATGGTCGAGGCTCCCACCAGCTTGGGCCCTGGACCACCCTGCGGAGCAGAGCTACTGCTGCCATCCCGGACTGTAGGAGGGAAAAGTGCGGCAGAACCTGTCTCCTCACATAACTTACCTTTATGATTTTGAGTTTGTGCTTTGGGCTGGTCCTGAAGAAGACAGATACCTGGATACAGAGGCACGAAAGAGCG